GTTCTGTGGTGTGTTGAAAACATCACCCCAATCTAAGCCTTCATCTTTACAGTGTCCTCTCTCTGTGTATATCTGTATCCTACTCTCCTGTATGTGGAACACCACCACTGCCTTATAACCTTGTCTTGAAAAATTAGATCTACAATTATTTCCAAGTAGATAACATTCTGTGGCATTAGAATTAGAAGTTCTATGCACGGAATTTTAGAGGATGCCATTTAATCCATGCATAAGGGGTTCACCCCCCAACTTCTATCCCTAACTGATGGAGGATTAGTCCTGTAGATGAGGATGCCATGTACTTCCTGTTTGCTCTTCCTCTTCTACAACATGTTTTTATTAAACATCTAGAAGGAAATTTCTCTGAGGACTGTGTCTTAGTCAGTTGGGGCCTCTGTATTTGTTTCTCCCAGTTCTGGAGGCCAAAAGTCTAAGATCAGGGTGTGAGCATGGGTGAGATCTGGTGAGGGCCATCTTCCAGGTTATACATTATCCGCTTCTTGAATCCTCACATGGTGGGTGGAAAAAGGACCTTCTCTTTGGAGTCCCTCTTGTAACAGCCTTAATCCCATTTATGAGGGCCTCCACTGCTTGAAGGTGTCCCCTCCAAAATTCAGATGTAGCTAATGTTAAAGTACAAGAACCAGGCCTTTCAGAGGTGATGAGGCCGTGAGAGTTGCTCCCATATGATTGGGTCAAGGCCCTTAGTAAAGAGAAGTCACACAGTACTCAGCCAGCCTGCCCTTCCATGTCCTTCCAGGAGAAGACAGTAGCAAGCAGTCTCCAGATACTGGGACCTTGATCTTGGCCTCCTCAGACTCTACAACTACAAGGACACACATCTCTGTTCTTTAGAAATTACCCAGTGCGTGCTATCTGTTGCAGCAGCACAAACAAGACTGAGATCTAATTATCTCCCTCTGGTCCACCCTCTGTTGCCATCACAGAGAAGGTTAGGGTGGTAGCACATGCATTAAGGGGGATACAAACACATGGTAATTTGCTTACTGTCTTGTTGGAAACTGTAGCCACAGCAGCTAGATCGGTACCTGGTACGTTGTGAGATCTCAGTGCTTGTAAATCAATGAATGAATGAAAGAATGAGTGCCGTGCTTCCTTCTTCACTCCCATAAGGAAAGGCAAAGCGCTGGCCTGGGTTTGCACAGTGAGGCTGGACAAAGTGTTGGCAAAATGCCTGTGCAGCTACCTTCCAAAACACAAAGCCCTCTCAAGCACCAACCCCTAATCCTTTAGTTTCCTTTATACAGGAGATCAGAGTGTCCCATTAAGTGTGTAAATCAGATTAAGAGCACAGGTGCCACCTCTCCTGCTTAGCTTGATTCTGCTCCCCTGGGCAGTGGAGCCACTGCTTCACCGCGGAATCAGTGCAGGGCTTGACAATGGGGGGAAGGGCCTATTTGATCAGCCCTAGATTGCATTCAGCTGGCTCCAGGGGTACACTTACTGGGGGACGTGGAGCGAGGCCTGTGCCCTCCTAAGATGCAAGGTGTCTCATCAGCACTGCTTCTGGGAGCGCCGCCTTACAGAAGTCTCTCAGTGTCAGCAGAGCATAGATTGGTGGACAGCAGGAGAGGCCTGGAGGAGCTACAGGAGCAGGAGGACGCGGCCCCATACAGGGTGCAAATTGTGTTTCTTTGTCAACATTGGCTGTCACAACTCCTAGTGGCTCCCAGTGTCACCTGGCACAGACACAAAGAGCAGACTCCCTGCCTCCTCCCTGCTCATCACACTGAAACAGCCAGGCTAGAACTCCCTGCTTTCCACAATTATGCTCCTGACCTGCCCTTCTGTGACACTTTATTAAACATTATTTGTATAAAAAGTCATTAAAGACAGCTTACATGGGGGAAAAAAGGAACAAGACAAGCAGTCTCTTAAATCACATCTTGAAAATGAAACCTTTAGCATAAGGAAACAAAAATGTTTATTGAATGCTTGTGATTAGTCATTATATTTCTCTTTGTGCTTCCTCTCAGCCTTACCAAGAAGGTAACTATGACCAGTTATGTGCTTGTGATATAAGAAAAAAGAGACAAGGTCTTCCCATGTTTTGGAGCTAATTCCAAGAGGTATTTTAAATATAAAAGATGCTTAACAGGATGGAAATATATATATATATATATACACACACACACATATATATGTGTGTGTATATATGCTTTCTGCAAATGCAGAAATCCTTTCAAGACAGATCTTCTTAACTTTGGCAATTTGCACAGGTTGAAGGAAAACATGAAAACCTAATTAGGCAAAGATACTTTGCAAAGACTGAGCCAGCATCTCGCTCTGTCTCTGTCTCTGTCTCTGTCTCTGTCTCTCTGTGTCTCTGCCTCTCTGTGTCTCTGTCTCTCTGTGTCTCTGTCTGTCTGTCTGTCTCGCTCTCTCTCTGTCTGTCTCTCTTTCTCTCTAGCTAAGACTGAGCTGACTCCAGCTAAGAGACTGGTTGGGGCTAAGAGAATTCCTCTTCTAATTGATAGCACATTTAGCTGACTAGGAGCAGACTTTCCCATTTGCTGGCCCACCAAAACCTTTATTCCAGGTCACTGTTAATAGGGTGACCAGAGGCACAAAGAGTAGTGACTTTACAAGAAGCTAAACCTTTGTATCTTGCTGCAAAGTTGGCTCTTCTGTGTACAACTTAGTTTGTTGTACATCAGTCTTATTTTAACCCCAGCACCATACCAGAACCACAGACACTGTTGTATAAAACAGTATCTATGTCACCCCAGAAGTCAGGGACTTGGAATGACAGCCATTGGTTGCCACAGAAGCCTGCAGTAAGGACTGGGATCTCTGGGCAGCTTGTCAACTAGTCCCTGTTCCACATGTGTTGTGGTATCAGCAGGGCTCTTCCAGGTATCTGTTAGTGGTCTACATCACTGGCAATTCTTGGACCTCACATCTTCAGGGACGCTGGCTCATGCTTCCCTGGTTAGGGCAGCCAGAGAGTGAAGATGAAAGCTGCCAAGGATCCCAAGGCCTGAAGCTTGCACAGCATCCCTCCTGCTGCATCCTGTGTGACAAGATCCAGCCAGACTTGATGTGCGAAGTGACCACCCAAGGATGACAATTCAGGGAAAACCACTTTTTGTTACTGATACTTTAGAAATAATGGCCACCTCCCTCACGGGCAACAATTTCACATGGAGTTTGAGGAGGGAGAGAGGAAGTCAGGTGTGGGCTCCTGGGGTAGGGAGGGAAGGGCTATTTGTCGGAGCATTTGGCACTAGCTTACTCCCCGCTCCAAGCTCTGTGAACTTGCCACTCCACTGTCACCAGCAAGAACCCAACTACCAGGCTTTTCCCACTCTATTTAGAATTTCAAGGTGAATACAAGAGGGATGAATCTTTGAAGCGATGAAGCGGTCAGTGCCTTAGGAAGCTTCCTGATATGATGCTTGAAGATTTGGGTACACAGTGCATGTTGAATTGTGTGAATTTCCAGCCCAGATTCTTTTGAGACTGTGGCCAGTGGAGATCACAAGGTCATTTTCATACACGCCGATATGAGACACATGGCATGTCCAGAAGTCAGCTGAGTTTTCTCCAAGCTGTATTAAGAACACCTAGTCTTTACATAGCACAAAGGTCACATTGTATAAAAGGATGATATAATGACAACCAAGGCCATATGTTCTCACTTTGCAGAACTGGAAATCTGATAGGATTAGATAACGAAGATGTTGACTAACAGAATCAGGGGACAAGAACATTGTGACATTCAGAAAAGTGGTGTGAATTTTTGCAGATTGAGCTAAATAGGAATGAAAGTTAGATCTTACATTTTGGTTCACAGAGTGCACATGTACACGTTGTACACGTGTGTGCCCACATACTTGTACATCTCTGAACACACGGAAAGGAGGTCTGACTTAGTAGCACCATGTAAAAATAACTTCAATATGATTCTAGCAAGCTTAATTTGAGTCAAAAGAAGGCAGACTTGATGGAACCTTAAACTATATTGATAAGAGCATAGATTCTAGGTTAAGGAAGTTTCCTGCTATTCTGTGTAACACAGTTTACATCAAGTGTATTAAGTCAACTGCTGGGTACATAACTAAAAAAAAAGCATTCAAGAAAAACTAACTTTCAGTTGATAAAAGTTAAGTTGATAAAAGAATTTGCAATCATGAGGTATAAAGGAATACAAGAAGTAACTAAAGATGCTTGACCTAGAGATACCCTTGACAAGGGCTTACAGAGAGTCCTCAACTCTAAAGGGTGATTCTGTAGAAGAGAGAATTGATATGTTCTCTGTGACCCTAAAATAAGTCCACCTGAATTGGTGAATGGAAGCCAGGGGTCCTGGCATTTAAGATCAGAAGAAGTAAGAATATATAGTCATTGAAGTGACCCAATTAATAACAGACTTGAACCAAGCATGATGGCATATGCTTGTAGTCCCAATATTTTCGGAGGCTGAAGCAGGAGAGTTGTGAGCTCAATACTAATCTGGGAAGGGCAAGTTAATGACTTAAAGAGACCCCATCTTACGTAGATCAGTGCAAAGGCCCTGGATTTGATCCCAAGTAGCACACACATACACACACACACATACACACACACACACACACACGCATGCACATGCACACACACAATAGATTTCAGCACATTTCTTATGATCTTCTGGGGTTGATGACTGAGTTGTTGATTGATTCAAAACTACCTTTAAAATTCTATCCAATCAACCATGAGGTATCCTAGGCCCTCCTCCAAGCTGTCATGATGAACAAGGCCACTGTACTGTCAAGGGATCAATGCTGCCGCTGAGGGCTGTGACAGTTGAGATAAAGCCAAGGCATGATGGTCTGAGTCCAGGCTCAATGACTGCAGGCGGCAGCCCGATAGCACCTGCTTCTGCTATCCACCTAGGGAGAGGGCTGGGCTCTCTAGCCTCTCTATGGGCTCAGTTCATGTAAAACGCCCCCTCTGCCCCTGCCCCTCTGTATGCTGAGTCTGTGTCTTCTCCCTGACAGAGGAGCTGAAGGAGAAGCTGACGAAGTATGTGGATAAAGTGAACAGCCAGAAGCCGGGCTTCATCAAAGTCGTGCGCCACAGCAAGCAGGAAGGCCTCATCCGCTCCAGAGTCAGCGGCTGGCGGGCAGCCACTGCCCCTGTGGTGGCACTCTTTGATGCCCATGTGGAGTTCAATGTGGGCTGGTAAGTGTCTGGGGAGAGTGGTAAGAGGAGTCCCATTGCGGTCCAGGAGCTTTGACTTGAGGGCATAAAGCTTGTTAGAAGAGAATTCTAGGGAGGGGTGAAATGTGCGAATGAGGAACCCAAACAACAGGGCCAGAGGGTTGAAGGCTAACAGGTCAACACGTGGCACCTAAGGGTACGTGACATCAGGCACATGGTCTTCTAGAGTTTGAGACCAGGAAGAGGTGTACACACTAATGCCAAAGCAGAGACTTTCTGCAAGCTAAGGTCAGAGCTCTAACACCTGGGATGGCAGAGCTGGGGCAGATGTGATGCTTATGTCTCCCCCTGTGAGGATGTGACTTGATCTTGCCTAGGCTCGTGAAAATGCCAGGCCAGAGGTACCGTATGGTCTCGGATTCCCCCTGCCAGAGAAACCAGTCTCAGCAATCTTTCTTCCTCTCTGGTCAGGGCTGCTAGGGCTGAGCGGAGTAAGGGAACTGACAAAGGCCTCTGTGACTGGAAGTAATAAGGCCTGTGACGATAATGTTTCTGCAGGCCCAGGATATAGTGACTTTGCCTGGTCATGAGAGACACAGGTGCCAGGGATGACTACGCAGCTGGGCAACAACCTCCCTCCCTTTTTCCCTTGTGCCTCAGGGCCGTGGGCTCTGCTCCCCACCTGGCTCCATGGTGCTGGCCTCTACTTCTGAGTGAGGAGGGCACTTTGGCAGGAGGAGTTGCAGGGCAGCAGAGTCCACACACTGCCAGAGCTGGATTCCAGCATCACAGGCCCGTATTCAGGCAGCAACACAGCCATTTTTTTTATAGCTGAAGTCCCTGCTTGCCATTTGTGACTATTTAAAAGGCATTTTCACTGGATTTATGGCCAGAGTAGAAGAGGGACACTTATTATTTCAAGCTGATTTGAATAAACAATTATGCAGCAAATGTATTATTAATGGAAAGCTTCTCATTCCTGTCTGCAAACACATTTCTTGCGTGGTGCTCAAAGGGGCCTCCTGGCTCCCTGGAAGTACCTCATCTCCTTAGATATTTGGAATTGCACACTGGCTCCCTGCTCCGTCTGCCCCTATAGGTTGAAGCACTGAATTTTAGCAAAATCAAATCCTGGATTGGAAGCTTCCTCTGGAGCCTCAAATCTCTTCCTTCATTTTTTCCATCTTTTTTATGTGTTGGCTTTTGTGTGTAAGGAGAAAGAGAGAGAAAATAGGCTTGACCAGGGCCCCTTAGCCCAGTTCTGGACATGCTGAAGAAGCAGCCAGGCTCCCTGTCAACCTAGGAGTCCTTAAGGTTGGGAGGTAGTGCACCTCTCATTGGCAGTGGGCCAGGTGCTCCTTTCTCCTTCTGTTGGAAATGGACCTTCATGAGGTACTAATCTGGCTGTCATCCACCTTAAAAAGCAGTCAACCCCTCTCTCCTTCTCTTCTGCACAGGGCTGAACCCGTACTCACCCGCATAAAAGAGAACCGGAAGCGGATCATCTCACCATCCTTTGATAACATTAAATATGACAACTTTGAGATAGAAGAGTACCCGCTGGCCGCCCAGGGCTTTGACTGGGAGCTGTGGTGCCGTTACTTAAATCCCCCCAAGGCGTGGTGGAAGCTGGAAAACTCCACTGCCCCAATCAGGTACAGTGTCCTTGCCTGTGAGTCTCTCAGGCTTGGCCTCCACACAAGGCTCCCCTCCCTGCTCAAAACTTGTTCTCCAAACTCCAGGATGGCAGGAAGGAATTCAGTGTGGTCTTCAGTCACTGCTTTAGCTCCAATCACACTTTTTAGAGGAGCCAACATGGCACCCGAAGCCACTCACAGCCTCATTTAGAGACATCACCCAGGGATGCCTGCTGGGCGTCAGCTGTAAGATTTGGTTCCCAGCCCCAAAAGCCTGAATTCTAGTGACGACATACAAAGTAATTAGAGTGGGAACATTATCTTACCCTGAAAGTGGGGTGGATGGCAAGCAGGGAAGTGGGAAATTCTTCACACCTTAGCATTTGTGCTTGTTTGTGGTAGGAGATGGCTAGGTTGGGAATAGACACCAATATGTGAAATTCATGGTCATGGAACAGGTTCAAAGGGACTGAAAGGAGGAGTGTAAGCCAGCAGCACCAAGTAATGAGGCAGAGAGATGGAGAGGCCAGACCAGACCCGCAAGACTTGTGTTCCTTGATGCTGCTTGAATTTTATCCTATAGGATTCAAACAAAAGTGGCATCACACTGCATTTCAAAAATCTCAAGTCCTCCTGCTTTTTCTGCTGTCTTCCTGGACCCCTCAGTTACACCCTATGCAGCCTCTGCTTTTATAGGCCAGGACTCCTGCATAGCTGTCCCCACCAGCCTTGTTTCTATCTGTGTTGATGACAGGTGGGTGCCTGTGCTCCTTGACTGTTAAACACACAGACAGCACCAGAAGATGCCCTAGGAGGCAGTTCCTGGAATGAAAGAGGAGATTAAAAGCTGATGTTGCTTTGTATTGCACAAGAGAGAAAGATTATGAAAAATGTAATTGAAAGTAGGTGATTATTACCTAAGATCACATTTTTCCTTGCCACAAGTAAAAAAATATTCATGTTTAAACCAGAATGTAAGGGAACCTGCTTAACTTTACAGTGATTACCTCTGCTACTTGCCTAAATCTGTCTTTGTTTGCATAACAAAATACCCATGGCTATATAATTTATTTAAAAAGAACAATGTTTATTTAGCTCGGAGGATTAGAAGGTAAAAGTCTAACATCAGGTTACCTCCCTGGTCAGCTTCTGACAGAAGCCTTCTGAATACATTATTCAGGCAGATGGCATCTCATGGCAGGAGCAGGAGAGGAAAGAGCCACATGCACAAAGAGTCAAGTATTTGAAGGCCTTGTTTTATGGCCACCTGCTCTCTTACAAACTAATCTGATCCTGCCAGACTTGCATTAATCCCTTCTGGGCGTAGTGTCCCTTGACCTAATCACTCTCTACTAGGCCTCTAAAAACTAAACTCTACTGCCTCTAAAACTCTACTACGTTTAAATATTGTTACACTGAGAACCAAGCTTTTGGTTCATGAATCTCTAGGTGACACAACCCAGACAGTATCCAAACCATGGCAGTTATGTAGTCTGTGAGGTCTGTGCCACACTTTTGTGATATTAAACATTTCCTGGGAGCCTCCTACAAATAAGGGTCTTTGACGCACTTACTCTCATTGAGTCTTTTGTATAACCTAGTGACAACTCATGTGTCATCTGTTTTGTAAGATGAGGAGAGCAGGACTGAGAAAAGACAGGATACACTCAGGACGGCCAGACTCAGGCCGGTCATCGTCCTTCAAGGTGGCCACTTTTGAGCTCAGAACTGGTGTGGCCCATTTCTGCCCGTCAATCAACTAAATTCAAGGGAAATATTAGAGGGAAACATGCCACCTGCAATGGATGTTCTTCCAGAAGACTGTACTGATATTACCTCTTTCTGTTCTGCTCATCTCTAGATGCATCAAGTTGGTTTTATTCAGCAATCTTCATTCCATGATCTTGCTAGAGGATGTCACCTCCAACTCAAATTTCCCATTGCTCAATTGTTATCAGAAACTTTATTGAGAAAAATTTCACTTATGAAAAAGTTTTGAAAGAGCATTCTTGGTTTTGTTCCTAAATAAACAGCCCTGCAGAATCTGTGATTGATACAAATGTATCTGGAATTTCCTTGTTCTGTTTTCTTTGGTGCTGTAGTGTTTTGCCTACATGTGGTTTAAGCTGTAGAAAAAGCCCAGTGATATCCTCTTCTGGATTCTAAAGGAATGTCTTTGAGGTGATTGTTCACTAGGTCCCCAGAAAACCTTGCTAACCTCAAGGATATTTTCACCTAAGAACTGTACATTTCAGTTCTGAGACTGTGTGTATTCATTTTCACATTGGCCACCAAGAAGCTCAGAGCTACATTTGTGAGTCTACTTCAAAAGCCATGAGAGAGTACCTCATTTTCCACATGCCTTCTACCTGGCACCCAATTTGATGTAATTTTTAGATCTTTCCAGACATAATTCATGTTTTTCAATGTGTTTCACATTTTCTCCTGAGATACTTCTAAATCCTTTCAGGAATAATAGAGGGCATAAATCAGTAATACTTTTAGGCTGATCAATCCACTTAATGTCCTAACCGGTCAATAAATAATGGACCTCCTGGGGTGGCCTGTACCCCAGGTTCTGTTCCTTCCCTAGCTGGGTGGAGCAAGACCCCTTGCCACATGCTCTGGGGACACAGTTCTGGAGTGCCCTGTCATGTCCAGCACTTCGGAGTGCAGAGGAGAAGCTGAGAACCCACTCTGATGGACCATTTTGTACTTAGAAAAGGGATCATCTGGGCTTACTCAATAAGCATCTTTTATAATGTTCTTTTGATACCAGTTATTTCCCCGAGGCTTTCTATAGCTTTACCTTATGTAATTGAGTACACGTGAGGCTATAGCTGAATCTGTCTTTTGTGGACTTAGGTGCTCAAAAAGGCAGGGGATCTCTTCTCAGAGACACACAGCCAGAAGTGGGATTATTCCCCTTGTGCTCATCTCAAAGGCCTGAGCCCAGGGTCCTTCAATAGAGCTGGCTCTCAGCTTGCTTTAGGAACATGAGTTGACCACACTTCTGTAATATGTGAGGGTGAAGTGATTTAGAATAAAGTGGGGTGACTTGAAAGCAATAGAGGCAGTGACCCCAGGGTGCCAGTGTGTTGAGCAACTTCCTGCATCAGCATTCTCCTGGAAAATAGCGTGCAAAATAGCCCTTTCTCTACAGTGATGAGTTTCCAATTTCAAAGACAGGTGCATTTGCATGTGATTGACAGTTTCTCATCATTAAAGATTCTTCATTTCTCCTTTTCTTACCTCCCCTCCCCCAAATCCTTCAGGCATAGATTGATGAAATGCCAGGTAAGGGCTAGAAAGAATAGCAGTGTGCAGTAGAACAATTCAAAGTCATTTGCTGTTGTCAGAGAAGCAGCCCCATGAGCTCCTGCTGATTTTGCTGGGTGTCTCCAGAAGTACACAGCTCTAAAGGAAAAAAGCTGTTGATGCCAAACCTGGGTGTCTACCTAAGCACTTTGGTCTGTGGGACACATCCCCTGTCGCCCTGGTGTCCTCCAGATAGCAAAGAGCGGTTTCTCAGCAGGAATACTGCTTTTTTTCTGGGAGCAACTTCCTCCCACACCTGTACTGATTCCTTAGCACCCCAGTTCCCATAGCAATTGTTTACACATATCTATTCACACCACTGTCCTGCACACTTGTCATACTTTGTGAATACTCCTCTACCTACAGATAAATCTACAGATCATTGTCCATGCAATCCAAAGCTCTTTACCACCTGCTCCCAGCTACTCTAAGCAGACACAAGTTGGTATGAAGCCCCAGTTGAGGATGGTTGGCTAGTTGGCATGGATGCCCAGGCAGAAACAGCCAGGCTGTACAGCTTAGAGGTCAAGGGCAAGGTAGCACAAGATACAGAGAAGCAGTCTAGTCAGCAGGATGAGTACTTCCCTGGGTTAAGGCACACACAAACTCTGCTGGAAATGAGGCTGGCCCTGGGAATTAGGAGCTATCTGCCATCTGCCCTAATAACTGGGTAAGAACAGACCAGGGCACTAAGAGGAGACTCAGATGGACTTTGGCAGCAAAGTGAAGGGTAGCATGTCCTCCTGCTAGGAAGCTCTTACTCTCCAAAGGGCTCCCAGGAAATTCATGGTCCATCTCCCCCTTCCCTGCAGGAGTCCTGCCCTCATTGGCTGCTTCATCGTGGACCGCCAGTACTTCCAAGAGATCGGCCTGCTAGACGAAGGCATGGAGGTCTATGGAGGCGAGAATGTTGAGCTTGGGATCAGGGTGAGTAGGGTTCCTCACAGACAGGGCAATCTTAACTCCCACAGGAGTGAAGCACTCTTTGAGGTGAAAAAAGAGGACTTAAAGTCAAGGATCACAGTCTGATTCTGAATCCTTGACCCAGGTCCACTTGTGTGACTGGGACCGGGTCAGGGGACTCAGGGTGGAGCTTCGTGAACCTTGAGGAGGAAGAGGACTTCAGAACCTGCTTACCGGTGGTGGGGAAGAGGAGACTTGAGCTGCCAACTCAAGGGAACAGCATCTTTATCAAAAGTGATATAAGCTCATCAAGGTGGCGAAAGGTGTTTGTCAGCTGAGACAGCATCAAGGGGTGGCAGACAGCAGTGCTCCCTAGAGTCACTTCCCCTCACTTGAATACTCTCCCTCTCTCTCACAGTGGCTCACAGAATTTTTGCAAAGACAGTGTCAAGAGAGAGCTACTGGGAAATAAACTCTAGTGGTGTTGACAGCAAAATGCACCAGGCTCACTTCATACTGGTTTCTGACCACGCTTAGTGCCAGCCAGAGCCCCAGGCCTGTTACTTCCTCACACCTTTTTCTGAGGTCACCACATATCCCCAGGCTCACGGCTGTGTGTGAGAGGCACTCTTTTGTTTCCCACCAAGTCCTAGGCTTTGTGTCCCTCATTGCTACGCTTGAAGAAATAAACCCTGAACACACACCTCCTCTCCTTTCAAGCAACCATTAGGTGCCCTAGTGTTGGGCAGGAATGTGATGATGAATGCAACGAAGGGTCTTTTCCCTACCCTGGGAGTGTCCTTGGTAAGCCCAATGTTTGAACTGTGGCATGGCCCTGTGGTAGCTCCCACTGTCTTCCCCATGCAGATTATTAACAGCCTGGCAACCCACACACTATAGGCTGGCCAATCCTTGAAGAAGACCTCCTGCTGTCCATGGCTCTCATTTGCAATTTTCTCCTCCTACTAGCCTGCTTATCATCAAAAGCAGACCTCCTCCACCACATCACTGGCTCCAACTAATGATCCCACTTTTGCCCTTCTGGCCTGAGTGAGCCTCTCACAACAGCTATGGGGCCTGACAGGTACTGTGTAGGGCCTGGTGTGTCCCCAGGCTTAATACTAGGGCTTTGAGAATGGGCAGCAGGAATGATCTGTCTGAAGCTTAGAAAAACACTTCCCAACACCTGTACTCACTAGAACTTCAAGAAATTGCTTTGGAGGCAGGGAAAATGCATGGGCTCATCAGGGGCTAATATATTCATGGAGGGCAGTGCCTGCGTAATCACTCTCAGTTTTCCAGCTCTCTCTCTCCACCCATCATTGATTCACTGCTGGAGTGCTCACTGTCTCATTTTAACACTGCTCCTGGATAAATGCTTGCCCCTCAAATGCAATATGTTTCGCTAGGAGCTGCTGTCAGGAATTGGCTGAGTGGGCAGCACCACCTCTGGTCACTTGTGTCCTCTGGGTAAAACTATCCAGGAATGGAGAAAAGAATTAGATTTGTGGAGTCTGCTTCCAATGTGTATGTGAGTCAGTCACAGAATGGTAGTGATTTCTAGCTTTTCCTTCCTTAAATTATAAAGCTATGCTGAAATGTGGGACTGGGTGAGGCTCTCCAATATGTGTTAAAATATCTTAGAGTGGCTTCATGTTCAGAGTTTAAGATATTGCATAAAATAACATCTGCCTTTTTCCTTTGCATCTCTTTCCTACTGCTTGCTGGAGATGAAGTGTCCCTAGAGTTCAAGGAAACTTGACTTTTAAAGCAGGGCCCAGCCCCATTAGCTGACAGAACTGAGCACACACTAGAGGGGGACTGGTTAACCTGACTTCAGTTCCCCCTTGAAGGGCTGCATCTCCCAAACAGGTGCCCTGGTTTGAATGGTTTTTAGTTTATTATTAGTGCTTTTCTTCCATGTATCATGAACCAGTATCTTAGTGCCTCGGTTTTCTGATGTATAAAATGATTATCCTTCCATACAGAACCACTTATTCAAAGTCCTTCTCTGTTTTAGAACATGGAGACAGAGTCATTTGCACTCTTATTTGAAAGAGTTTTCAGCGTGATAGAGAAGCAAAAGTACAAAAAGAACAGGTTTATTGAGATGAGGACGTAGAAAGGAGCACATAACCCATGGCGGCTGCACTGTCTCCTTCCACAGGAATACGGGGGTATGGGACATATGTAACCTCTGACCAGGGGTGGTGCTGAGGGTGGGCATTGATGATGCGCGAGGAGCTGATTGGATTTTCTTTGTGCACAAACAGGAAGGGGAGTTGCAATTAAAGCTGAGGAAGAAGCAGGAAGTGGTAGGGGTTCCTGCTTTGGCTTTCTGCCACGTTAGACCACCACCATAACTACACAGTAATTTATACTAGAGCAGGAACCTTGCATTATTGAGAGCCCATTCTGTGCTGGGATTTGTGCTGGACATTTTACTTATATTATTTGCTAGGATTATTTCCCAAAGATGAAAAATATTTCCAAAAGATGAGAAGTATAAAATAAAAAGCGGCCTTTATTCTGAGAACACGGAGAGAGATGACCGGCACCCCCACCACTGGCGTCCGGCGATCTCTCCGGCAGACACGTGGTGTGGGGGCATGTAAATAGCCTCGGTTTGGGGTGGAACCTAAGGCGGGCATTAGGGATGTACAGGTAGCCCATTGGTCCTAAATTTGGCGCCGTATGTAAATTTCCAGAGGCGGGAAGATGGCGTCACAGGTAACTTCCTAGGGGCAGGGGAGATAGGGGCTTCCTGCTTCCGGTTGAGGCTTTCCTGGCTACAGTGTCCTGTCTGGGCCAAAACCCTTTCATTATTCATCCACAAAACAGAATAACGATGGATATTATTATAATACTTCCCTTCAATTTCAGTTGAGAAAACTGAAAACATATGTTCTCAAGGTCATTCAATCCCAATGTTTATGAGTCAGTAAACATACCATACTTATTGCTCTAGGTCCTTTGAGCATCCCCCAAAAAGTGTTACAAAGTCCATGAAGTTTTTCTTTCTATTTCATTAGCAGTCATGTCTGTTGGGTCATGATTTAAAGCCTTACTCTTACTTCACACTCAATTCTAATAGAACTTTCCTCCACTAATTTATAAGTTCCTGAGGAAATGAGAAAAAGAAAGAACATCTGTGGCAGAGTGAAATAAGTGGGAAATAAGAAGTGACATTGAAAAGAACACATAAAGATTATGTACTTCATGACTGTAAAAGTACTAAAATACATATTAAAAGGTATTCAAGAACTTCCAAGGAAATAAAAAATTGTCAGAAACAGGTTATCAGCTGAATTGAACTCCCCCAAATATGTCTTACTATCTTTTAGCAGAGATTATGACCTAATTTGGAAATAAGGTCTTTGCAGATGCAGTCAGGGTAAGATGAAGTTAACTGGGTTAAGTTGGGTCCAATCCAGTGTGATCGGTACCCCTATAAGAAGAGGAAACTTTGGATGCAGATAAACATGGAGAGAAGACCATGTGAATATAGAAATAGAAGATAGAGTTATAATGCTTTACACAAGCCAAAGAATGCCTAAGAAGCTGGACGAGATGAAGGAGGGAGCGCCCCTTAAGACCTGGTAGGGAACATGGCCCTGCCAGCAGCACACCTGGCTTTCAGACTTCTGGTCTCCACCGCAGTCAGAGCGTGCATTTCTGCTGAGTCCGTAGTCTAGTTGGTGGTCGTTTGTTTTAACTCCCCAAGGAAATGAATACAGAGACCAAATATTTAGTGCAGGTGATTCTATTATATTTAAAGAATCTGATGATGTTGAAGTTGCCATTTTCTTAACTTTCTAGGAAGTGAGCTTTACTTCCTACCAAGCTGGACCCCAAAGGTTTATTTTCTTCATATAAAGAATAAATTTTCTCTCTGGAGAAAGAAGTAGCCAGCCCACTAAGCTTTTCACAGCTAGAGTTCCAAAGAATACGAGTTCAGTTTTTAAAAGGTCACAAAAGAAACAAGAGTAAGAGAGAGAAAGTACCCTGAGAAGACACAAAAGCAAAGGACAGTCAAATTTGATCTACAAAGTGTTTTGAGTGTTGAATCAATCACACATAGATGTGAAGCATGTTGAACAATATATTTAAGTAATAAGAGAGAATTAGAAAAATGAATAAAAAACAAAAGACTATGAAAACAACTAGATACAGTAAGTTAGAAAATAGATCTAAAGAAATTGTCCAAAATCAGCCCAGAAAGATACTTGAAAGAAGGAAAAGAAATGAAAAAAAATTTTAAAGGTTGAGAGACATGTAGGATGGAGGGAGTTTAACACAGTGTCTCAAAATCCCAAATGAAAATGGTAAAAAGAGGAACTCAGGCAAAAAACAGTATTTAAATAGATCATGGATTAACAGTTTCCTAAATAGAGTACCAATCCTCAAATTTAGGAAGCTAGCCTATCCAAAACAAAATGAATATGTAGGTATCCACATAGACATACCGTATAGTAGAGCTACAGAAGACAGAAGACAAAAAGAAAATCTTATACCAGTTTAGAAGAAAAAAAAATCTACCTAAAAATCAGGGACAATTAGAATAACAGCTGGCTTTTCAACAGCAGCAACAGAATTCAGGAGAGTGTGAAATAATATCTTGATTATGCTGATAGGATACAATTGCTAACCTATGTATGTATACCCAGTAAGAGTATCCTTCAAAAGCCAGGGTGAAAGAAAATCATCTTCAGACACACAAAAGACCTTAAGACATTGCCACTGACAGACTGTTAAAATTTCTATCAGGAATGTTCCCACAGGCCTCATGAGTCCATCATTGGGGCATTGGGAAGGTTACTGACTTGCTAGTGGGAGTTACAGGAGGTACGGTCTGTAGGAAGAGGCAGGTCACTGTCAGCGTAAGCTGGAGAGTTATATCTCCCTCTCTGGCTTCTTTTTTCTCTCTTTTCTTCCCAACCTCCATGACATGAGCAGCTTTTCCTCCACTGGGCCACTGTGTCAGCCTGTTTCTGCCTCCGAAGCAGCTGACCGTGAACTGAAAA